GAATTTTTTTTTTTAGGAAATTTTTATAGGAAATTTAAAATGGCCAAAGTTTTTTTTTTTTTTTTTTTGGCCAAAACTGATTTTGGCCAAAAAAAAAATAATAATAATAATAATCTTTTTTTTTTTGTTCTTTCTAAAAGATGATTTAGGGAAAAAAAGACATTGGCCATTATTTTAGGAAGGTGATCATATAGTACTTGAAAAGGTCTTAAAACAACACTATTATAATTTATTGCAATAACTATTGTGACAGGTTATCATCCGAACACTGTCCAGTTGTGGCCACTGGGGTATCGTGTGTAGTTGGTGTAGCAATAGATTTCCTGTAGCTCATGCTAATTATTTCTTTAGCAGAGCGCTAAAGGGTAAGTACAAGAATCCAGTTTGGTTCTGGTTAAAACACCTGACAGTAGTTAAAAATGTAATTGCGCCACCTTGAACATGTACATCCAAAGAACATAACCAGGTTTATTTCTGTACCTACTGTGAAAGAAGCTGGACATTCTGACCCAATATCAAATTGTTGAGTGAACTTCCACATCAGTAGCCGCTGCTCTTTCTGCCATGCGTCGATCCAGGCTGCTGCTGCAGGTGTCCACCGAGGCCTGTAACCCAGACGATGAGATGGGCATAACGTTCGGCTGCTCCCTCAAAGACTGCAGGCGTCTGCTGGAGAGCGCAAAGGAGCTCGGTGTGCAAGTTGTGGGAGTCAGGTGAGACGCGCTGAAAATCATCTTAAACAAACACACTGAAGTGATTCAACAACAGCAACTCATTCCTGAGAAAATAATATTCTGCAGTAAACCGAATAAAACCGGACTTTGTGCGACTGTGACGAGTGTCTTCTCCCTTTCAGGTCTCACATTTCCAGCACATGTGACGATGACCAGGTTTACAGTCATGCAATCTCTGATGCCCGTTGCATCTTTGACATGGGTGTAAGTAGTATAAATTTAAAAGTGAACTGGTTTTAGTTTCGGCTCCAGAGACATGTGGAAAAGGTAATATTTTGCTTTCGTCTCCTGCAGGAGGAGGTCGGTTTCAGCATGAACATCTTGGATATTGGAGGCGGATTCAGTGGCTCTGAGACTCAGCTGGAAATGGTCAGCTGTACTTTCATGATTTTCCAGGTCGTATTCGGTTTAGCTTAGACTTACATTTCCTAACTTTCTGTCATGTTTCTGTTCTTTTAGATCAACTGTGCTGTTATGTCCATGGTGGACCTTTACTTCCCTTCTTCCACTGGAGTCTCCATTATTGCAGAACCCGGAAGCTTCTTTGTGTCCACTGCATTCACTCTTGCTGTGAACGTCATTTCCAAAGCAGTGATGGCTCGTGACTGCCAAGACCAGAAACAAAGTAGGTGGAACAACGCTTTGTGGTTAAGATGAATAATTTAATTTTATGTTTTTACGGGATTAATTAAAGCTTTCAGTCACCTTTAAACTGTGTATTTTGAAGTACTAAGTAAACTCTACATCCTTGAACAGGTGAGCTGTCTGCCAATGAGGAGCCAGAGTTCCAGTATTACATGAACGAGGGGGTGTACGGATCATTTTCAAGCAAGCTCTCAGAAACAGTGATTGCAGCACCATCTGTTCACAAGGTGAGTCTCAACAACATTCCGGACATAGAACATGCAAACCTTAAAGTAAGGGTGCACCCATTACAGTTCAGATTCCGATTTTGGCCAATACCGAATTTTTTATCTGAAAAGTCAGTAAGTTAATCAACAAAATTGATAAATTGGCAACAGTGGGGTGACTATTGTTAACCATGCACATTAAAGACAGTCGTCATTTACATTTGTGGTCTGATTTGAGCAGTTTAATCCAATTTTAACTGCAATTGTTTAGATCCATGGGATACGCTGCTTTATCTTGGAGAATAAACATCTACACTTTAAGACCATTGCTCAGGTTGTATGTTGTTCTGTGGAGGGACGTCACATATATCGACATTAACATCGGTTTTGGCCGATGTTTGTTGTTATTTTAACTGCCTTCTGTATCAGTCTTCCTTGTGAGCTGCATAAATCAAAGTCTGCCAAGACTAGAGAAAGCTTTTGGTTCAGCAACGGGCTGTCGTTTGTGCAGCAGATGGTGCAGATTCCTGTGCTTTTCCAGGTTTCCTAGTTGTTTGGAAATGATCCCACTAATCAGCTGATCAAGCAGACTAGTGCAGGCTCAGATAATGGAACTTGACATCTAACACAGACTACATTCAGCTGTGAAAACCTCATTCAATAGCGTAGTATAGCGTTATGTCTAATGTGCTTTAAATTGCCAATAGTAGGGCTAAATCAGCCCTGATTTTCTTAGTTTTTGGAGGTCAACTGATACTTAGATGTGAAATTGATCTGCACAGTGGCCAACTCGGCAGCTTTGGTGCTACTTTTAGGGACTTTTCCGACAAAGACCAGAATCAGCAGGTCGGCCTTTTTAGAAATCTGTGATCAAGCAGAAAACTGCAATCGGTTCGTCCCTAGCTAGTCGGTATGCATGGCATGTCTTTGAGGATTTGTTCACTTTTTTATTTATTTATTTATTTATTTTATAAACCTTTCTACAAATATGACATCGCTATCACAGATAAGGGAACATCACTTCAACAAATCTAATCTGTCCCTTTAATGTCCAGTGGTTTATTGATTCTATTTGATGCCTTGTGAACAGGATACATCTCTGGACCTCCCAGTGTTCAGCAGCAGCTTGTGGGGCCCCTCTGGGGATGACCTGGACCAAGTGGTGGACCACTGCCTGCTACCTGAGCTCGACACAGGGGACTGGCTGCTGTTTCCACATGCCGGAGCCTACACTCTGGGTCAGCCTCTGTTCCCTCCCACTGACTCAACACCGCCCCCTGTCCACTATGTAATATCCTCGAGAGACTGGTGAGGATCTCTCTGAAGATTTTCTTCTGCATTCAGAAGGAATCAATTATTTTTTATTTTTTCTTTACATGTTTGCTGTTTCCTTCTTTAGGGTAGAAATGCAGGATGCTGATGCTGGTGTAACCAGTGAGACTACGATGAAGAACTTCTCCTGGATCCCGTATTTCCTCGGCTCCTGCCAAACAGAAGCGGCACTGTCTGTTCCAGCTTAGCAACCTGCCGACCAGGAAGGCTTTCAGCTTCTCCTACTGGTTTACGCTGCTATTGTCCTTCACCTTGATGAACTCATTAAGCCAGTTGCGCAGATATGTGTAAAAGCACTGGGACCAGGTAGATCTAACCTTATCCTCAACTCTGATGAGATTACACCCTGAAAATCAAACAGTACATGTCAAATAGTACGCAACAGAATTATTTCAGAGTTACTCAAATATTTCATGTTATTAGCATCCCATTGAATTGCAGTTTACTGAATTAGGTATATGTAGAATTGTTGTGATTATATATTTAACTGATGTATTTACTACTTCTACTAGTGTTGCCAGTCTCAGTAAATTGCATATCTGATTGATTGAACGTTGCTCTGAAATAATTTTTTTATTACACTTGTATTTATAATTTTTATTGTCTTGCATAATTTATTATATATGACAAGCTTAACTCCCATCAGTTCATTCAAAAATCTACTATTTTCAGCTATCGTTGGTGTCGCAGTGGCATCTGCTCCTTGCAGAAAACATAGACTGTTTCAGCCCAGTGCAGTTCGAAAGCAAAAGTTTAAGTGATCACCAGTTAGCTGGTGTGTTTGTGTTTTGACAAAGTGCAGAGCGACTTTCCGAAAAGAGCCAGCAGGTAACCGCTATGCCGCCAGAGCATTAGACAGCATGTGCTGCAGATGGAACAGGGTAAGTGTTGATGGATAAGGAATCAGCTGCAACAAAAAGGGACATTTCAGTAACAAAACAGTACGTTTTTAATTCTATAAACTTCACATTGTCTTATTTATACTGGATACGTGTTGCAAGAATATTGCCAGTTTTTGACAATGCAAGGTTGCTTGCATTGCATGTGTCACATCTGTAAAGTCGTCTCCCAAATCTGCCTCTAAGAAAAAAACTGGTAAGGCACTTGCCTTCTGTTAAGTTGCTGCTGTAGCTTGTCAAAATGAACATTAATAAACACCTGAATGACGTGACTGTGTGTTACTGGGTTTTTTAATTTCTCTCGTCAAAAGTGGGGCTGCCATGCATCTGTGTCACTGGATCCTGACCACCACGAGCAGGCAAGACAGGAGAAGTATCTTGCCCAAATACACAAGTGAGACAAATGGAGCAGGGTTTGAACCAGCAACCTACCCTACCGGTTACAGGATAAACTCCTACCATCATTACCCCAGAAACATGCAAACCCCTGATCTCAATATTGACTTCAAGCTACAAAGTTTGCTTTGTAATACTGTGTTCTGAACAAAAACTAAACATTGCACAAACATTGTTTAAAAATAATATATTTCATAAGGCACAAACAGACTCTTTGGTCAAATAAAAAAAAGGTTGACAGAAAAACAAAAGGTTGCAGGAAAAAAGCTCATGGAAGAGTTTGATTCATCTCCTCCATACACACAGCAGTGTTTAGCCTCTGTTGCACTTTTTAAGTGGATAAACAAATATCTGCAAATTCACCCTCAAAAAGTTTTTGTTTGCTTTCGCAGTCTTTGGCCTTTCAGCAATTAGTGTTTCACGAGAGCGTTCGTAGAGGAGACTTTCATAGCAGTGGACACAGTGAGGTCTGTGGCAGGACCTATCCCTAATGCCCAGAAGGGTTTCTTCCTTGCCACAAAGTGTCGTCGGGCGTGCTTAGACAGGTGGTCGCTGCGCATGAAGCGACTGAGGCAGATGGGGCACGTAAACCTTTTCTCTCCGGTGTGTGTTCGACGATGGCGGGAAAGCTCATCCGAACGAGCGAATCGCCTCTCACAGCCCTCCCACTTGCATTTGAAGGGTTTCTCACCTGTTGGGACAAAGCCAGAGGGGATTTGACTTTCACTTTGTGCTTAAATCATCAGCAAGATCACACTTCTTAAGATTCTTCATCTCTTACCTGTGTGTGTCCTCATGTGGGCCTTGAGATGGGAGCTCTTGAAGTAGGTCTTGCCACAGTCCTCATGAGGGCAAACATGACTGCGCACACGTGACGACTCTCTTTGCAGAGTGGCGCTCCTTTGCTCCAACGCGGCACGCCCAGGAGCGGGTGCAATGGGTGCAAACCTGGTGCTACCAGATGTCATCTGCGCTTGCTGAAGCTTCCAGATGGCAGGAACTGATGGTTGGGGGACAAGAAACACTATGGGGCCTTTCACCACCTGACCCTCTACTAACAGGATACGTGGAGGGGAACCTGTTGGTATCAGTGGCGATCCAAGTTTCTGCTGTGAAGTGTGTGAGGGTGTGATTGTTAATGGAACAGACGAAGAGGTTATGACACTGTTTTGCGGTCTAACGGTGGATGTGGAGGACACGGGAACGATTTGGCTAAAGACTGGTACACGAGAAACTAGCGTGATTCCAGCCGTAACTGATGAGGCCATGTTTGATCTGTCATCCGGTTTTATCCGACTCATCTGGATCTGGCTGGGTTCAAAGTGCGCTGATGCATCTTTGGAGGTTTTCTGTTTTGCAACAGTCTTATCAGAGTCTCTGTTAGTCCAACTGTTAGAGGCGTCCACATTCGTTTTAGAGTCCTGCGCAAGAGACTCCGAGGCTGTGTCTTCTTGCAAGGGTTGAGTGCTGCAGGAGCAGTGCTGGATATCCGCAGTGTGGCGGATCACACTAGTGCACTGGTACTTCTGGGAAATGGCTCCATCCTCTGGAGAGTGATGCAGTTTATGCGGTGACCCTGAAAGGGTGGCCTCACAGTGGGGTGGGCTGTAGGGTGGCGTCATGCACTGCAAGAAAAGTCAAAGAGTGGGACTAAGTTTTCTGTTCTACTGCCAATCCACTCACACCACTTAATACACTGCTCAAAAACATAAAGGGAACACTCAAATAACACATCCTAGATCTGAATGAATGAAATATTCTCATTGAATACTTTCTTCTGTACAAAGTTGAATGTGCTGACAACAAAATCACACAAAAATCATCAATGGAAATCAAATTTATTAACCAATGGAGGCCTGGATTTGGAGCCACACACAAAATTAAAGTGAAATGTTCCCTTTATTTTTTTTGAGCAGTATATTTTTGCAGGTTATGAACACAAATTTTGTTGTATTTTGCTGAGATATACCAATATAAAGTAGTGGATTACCAAAAATGGGGAAAGAGGATGCATGGTTTTTATTGTGTTAATTTGCAGGACACAAAGAAAACATCTCTTAACAGCTTCTTCCAGGATAGCCCTGTGAATAGTTTCATCCTAATGCCTGTCAACTTTGACAATCTTCACTGTCCCTCCCTATAAAACACCAACAGTATGATGCTGCTGCCACCCTGTTTAACTTCAGAGATCATTTGTTCAGGGTGTCAACTATCCACATTTGGAGGCCAACAAACTTTATTATCTGTTCAGACAACCTTTACAACATTTCGTTGAGTCACCTATAGGATTGTGGCAAGCTGGAAATGGGACCTCTAATGTGTTTCTTTCAACACTGACTTTCTTCTTACCACCCTTCGTTTAAGGTCCAGATTCCTGGACCTTAATGGACCTTCCATTAAGGTCTGGATTCCTGGAGTGCTCCACTAATAGTGTTAACAGAGATACTTTGGCTTTCGTGGCTGCTTCTTTCTCTAATCCTCTCCTTGATTCGCCCATGAGTTGAGTTAGATCACCAGGTCTGGGTAGGTTTTTAGTTGAGTAATACTTGACTTACAGATGATAGATTGAACAGCGCTCCATAAGATGTCCAAAACTTGGATAACTTTTGTAGCCTAACCTTTCTTTAAATCTCTCACACAACTTTATGCTTGGCCAGTCTGTTATGTCCCTTGGTCTTCATGATCCTCTTCATTTAAAGTCTCCAAAACCCCCAGAAATGTCTTCACCGAACTGTACAGTTATGCATGTTGAATTTTTTTTTTTTTTTTTTTTTTTTTTTTACATTTTGCTTGAGAAAATTTTCAATTTACAGATATGAACAATGCAGCCCTAAAGATGTGGGAGGTGTGGGGGTGAGGGGTGGCCAAATTTGGAAAAATGCTAGCCACTCCACTGGAACACCCAGAGAATCATGTTCAGCACCCATATGAACATCTTCTGGTGCCGTGACTTGATAAGCGCTAATTTGTGCTGGTCTGTCAAATAAAAGCTAGCCAAAATAAAATGAAGAAAAGAAAGCAAACAATATGACATTCACTGAAACTATAATTCACTTACAAAAGACGACTCATGCATCGCAGAAAGACCGGAGGGCACAGAGTCATCCTCTGAGCATTCTGAGGAGGGGGTGAGGGGTCTGGGCTGTTTGGGCCTGAAGTTCCTCGTCTTCCAGTGCTCAGTCATGGAGATCAGAGCTTCCACGACCCAGAGGTCACCTGCACCCATTGAACAAGGCTGGAAATCAGGCCGGGTGTCTAACACCTCACATTGGTCTATTTCAACTTTCATTCTAGAGATCTGACAGACAAAAACAAGGGAGAAGTGTTGAGAATTTGCACCAGGCTTCATACAGTAATGTCTAAAGCCTCGCTGACAGTCATCCTGTGGAGGTTATTTAGTTTTCACGTTTATTGATTCAGCTATTTCCAGGACATGGGGGAGGGAGCGCGTGAAACCGGCATGATCAGCTGGTGTTCTTCACTCACTCCCCTTTCACCTAGTTTCTAGTGGAAGCAGAGAGTGGTTACAAAACAACCAGACAACCCCTTTATGGCAGGGGTCTGGCACAGACCATCAGGGCCGGCCATCCTTCTCCCTCCTGTCTGCCACAAGGATAAAATGCATAGCAGGTTGCAAAGATAAAGCAAACTTATCTGTGCAAAAGTAATCTTTTCAAAGAAATGTTATCTAATTTATGCAATATTTCTTTTTCTTTTTTTTAAGTGGAATTAAAAAATCTTACTTACATGTATGTTGGATTGGGTGATTTTTTTCCCCCCCAGGGGATCAGTCTATAGGTTTCACCTTCAGGTCAGCCCTGTCGTCTGTGCGTGAATATCTGAGTGCAGAATTTGATGTTTCCCACTTTTCTCCTCTCGACCTGTTTCTCATTCATCGTCTCAAATGCGACGGGGGGGCGAGGGAGGGACTAAGGGGCGGGGTTTATTGCGGCGACCAATAAACCGAATAGGTGTGCTGAGGTGCCGGCCAATAGGAGGAGAACTCGGTGCGTGATCCAAGACTGATGCGGACGTGGAGGGTGCATGGTACACAACACCTTTGACATATGGGGACGGCAACGTAACACACACTCTCTCTCTCTCTCACACACACACACACACTCGCTCTCTTACACACACGCACCCTCACACTCGCTCTGTCTATCTTGAATTACTCTCCTAATTCTCTGTCGGTGCAGAAACATTTTTTCATCGCTCATAGGAAATGAAGATCTTATCTTATATTGTAAGATAATAAATATTAGCCCCCCCAAAATATTCGCTTGTTTATTGCACCAAACACGGCACCTTCTCTGACTCGCATTTGAATCGTTGGACGCACTCTCAACCAAATATAAAAATAAAAAATAGAACCTCATGCAAGAGCTAAATATGAAGATCAATCATATTAGTGATTTTTAGTAGTTTAAACAACATTAAGATACAAATCTTAGACATTTTCATGTGTTTGAATGTTTTTATGGCTTGTTTTGTGACAGAATATCACTTCTCATTACTGGGTTGGACCCTCTCCATTGTATCCAGGACTCCTACCAGATTCAATAATATACTCAGAAAGGTGCTGGAAACATATGATATTTTGCTCCATACTTATTGCAGTTGCTGATGATATCCTGGATGTAAATATCCTGTTCCTGTAAATATCCACATTGATCTGGTGACAGTGGAAGTCGTGTTCACAAAGCAACATTAAGACGATTCGAGGTCTGTGACATGGTGAATTGTCCTGCTGGAAGTAACCATCAGAAGATAAAATCTTAATGCTGGAAAGTTGTTGTTTTTTTGTTGTTTTTTTTAAAATTTGATCCAAATCAGTTTTTCCTGTAAAAACACTTGTGCATCAAACGAAAACAGTTAAAGTGGTTCAGGCATCTGATTAGGCAGCCTCAAAAGGTGCCTCCTTTTAGATGGGTGACTGGATAAACACATTAAATAATATGCAGTAGATTAATTCAAGGCCGGTACCTTCAGTATTTATGTTACTTTTCTTTAAAACAGACAGCAACAACTCTTTAGAAGGGGTAAAGAAGATGGGACAGCTTGAATAGCAGTCAATGCAACTTCTGGTCTCTTCTGTGCAACAAAAGCTCAGAACAGCTTTTATTCGCTTGTTTATTGCACCAAACACGGAAGCTGCAGTGACTCCCCTAAGAATCTGTCTGCTCGTAACCAAAAAAAAAAACAGTATGAACCTCATGCAGGAAATAAATATGAAGACGTTTGAATTCATATATTGATATAAAAGTGTGTGATTTGCCGGTTTTTAATAGTTAACAGAAACCTAGTCCCTAGGGGGTGAAAGTGGTCAGCCAACAGAAGATGGCGTCAGGCAGCTCTGTGGATTAGGTAAGTCTCAGCTGTCTGGATCTTCCTGCACAGCACACAGAGCCGGAACAAAAGCCTGGCTGTGGACACACAAAGGAGAAATATACACACAGACAGAGAGTGCCATTGACTGTCTCTGGCACGGTAGGATGTTCCTAAAAAGCATATTTGCTAGAAAAGAAGAAAGTCTGGAGGTGAACAGAGTTCATCCTGCATTTATTATTTTACAGCTTAAAATTCTAAACATATTGGTAACAGTTTCAATGTGCCTATAATAACATGTGTGCTCTGTTCTGCTTGCAAGAGTCAAACATTTTCAACAGTTTTCAATAAATAAATAAATAAAACTCTTAAAACTCCAGGCGATGTATGTTCGCAAGATCTTCTGACATACAGTAGTGGGGGAAATCTTCTGGTGAGTTCCTCCACATTAACCAAATTTTAAAAATGCCTAAACATTCAGAAAAAAATCTGGTTGGTATAGAGGAGGTGAGCCAAATGTACAGGCTATGGACCTCAAAGTGGATGTACTGCATGTCTTTATCTTCTCTCTCCACCCTATTGCCTCTCAAAATACTTTTCAACATTTTTAAGCTGCATATTTTTGCAAAATTCTCGTCTCTTTTCAAAAATGAAGTCCAAAATGAATCACCACCAAAGCTGAGTGGCCTTGGCACAAAATATGAACACATTTCTTTGCCCTTCAAAAGCAGACATCCTTCCTATGCCCCCAGACAATGTTCACAGAGGTGGCCAGATGGGCCAGAGAAACTTTTAGAGTAGTAATATGACTGTATGATTGTCAGTAGTGGGCACCTGCTAACTAAAATGTTGGTTACACTAATCCCAAAAAACTAATCATGAACATCATCTATGTTAACGCTGAGGCACTACACCAACACAGTATTTAGCGAAAGCTAATGCTAAAGTGCTAACTTCATTTCAAATTACATCTTCCTTTGATACTTCACCCATAGACCACCAATTTAATTTTGACATAATTTACATGCTCCGTAATGCCCTTAGATAACTGTATGTGTTTATATCTGGTTCGCTTATGTCAGTGTTCTATTTTGTTCCTTTATTTATCTTGTTTGAAATAAAGTCATTTGCAGGTAAAAGAGAGCCAACGGAACTGCGTTTTCAAAGTTAGCAATAGCGCTAAACCAAAAATTAGCTCCGCTATTAGCGCATTAGCAAATTAGTGGGAAGTGTGCCCACCTTGGAGAGCAATTGAGCTAGCATTTTTCCTGGAAAGGCCTGGGAGCCCCTTGTTTATCCTCTGGGAACACAACTGCTGACTTGTCTCACATTCCCATGTATGTGCTAAACATCGTCGCATTTCATGCCTTATTTACTGCTTGTGGCTGATTCTGTGAAGGTGGTCCAGAAAGTTAAGTTGACCTGGCTGTACTGGCAGACTCACAGCTTTCTATTAGCTGTCCCTTTTCAAGACCTGCATTATATTTCTCTGCTGGCAGAGAAGTTATTTTAAACTCTTCTTCTCTGGCTAATTATCATGTTACTCCAGTTGGTAAAAGCAGATTTTTCTTGGTAGTCCCCAGACTGACAGCAGCTGGTGTAATGTTTTAACCTAATCTTCTTTGTTTGAATTCAATCACTTTTTGATTGTATAATCGTATTTGAAGTTTTGCCATCGTTAACTTAGAAATCTCGTCCAGGAACTTGAACATTTCCTCAGGCTCACAGGTCACTCCGATGGCGGCTGAGTTTCCTGGCTCTATCTCTTTGTACCCATATTTAACATCACCACAGGTCATCTGATAACCCACTGCCCAGGCAGCTAAAAATAGGACTGGATTTTTATGAAGTTTGTTTGACTTTCCTGTTAAAAAAGGGTACAGGTTTTTACTCACGGGACATTGACCTGATATCTCTCACCTTTGTACTAAACTCTGTGAACAGAAAGGCAGAAAAATGCAGACCTTACATGGTTACATGACATGTGGAGTGTGCATACTTACAAAGAAAAAGGTTAAATCATTTTAATGTAGGTTTTCCATATCTCCCTTTAATTCCATTGGGAGTTTTGCTCAATCCAATCCCTCAGATCCTTTCAGGTAATGTTACATCACCAAACAATTAAACAAGAGGACATAAAAATGACAATGACCCCATTTTAAATATAATATCTATAGCAGAAAGATGGAACTGAAAATACTTTTGGTCTAATGAACAAAAGCAGCAGGAAATGCACTTTGTACAGTCTGATTTTCTTAGTTTTACACAATACTCTACTTGGCATTTGTTCAGTATTAGGTAATGAATACTAAAATGTCATGCTGCATTGGAGAATGTTGGAGATTAAAAATAAAACAAAATGTCCATTTTCTGTCTGCTTCTGATTACTTCTTCAACAAGAAAGCCTCTCATTTCGATACAATCTCCTCAGGACGTTTTACCATCAGCAGTTAATTTTAAAGACGAGGTATTTGACAACTGTTCACCATTTGCCTCACATGTCTCACATGGGGCAGTGCATTAAAGAAATAGCTGCCATTTCTGGCACTAATTTTTAATCCATGGAAGAAGGTGAACAGTGCCACCTAGTGGTAAAAATATAGAAAACCCTGTGTGGATTGTTCATTTGACAAAGGGGACCTTTTTAAATAAAGGTAAGCAAATAAGCCAAATATCTTTCTGGGGATATATTAATTTGTAAATATAAATATATATTTCTGTGTAATTCAAACCACTTCCATTCATAATGGAGTGTCCTGATGTACAAGCTACCTTATACTGTAAAATATTTTTTTTACTTCTTGAGATCCAATAAAAATGTACTTGTTCCACTATCTCCTTTATATATTTGGCGCATTCTCTCTGTTTTGATTCTATGACCCATTTTTATTTTTTTTTATTGCAGCTGAGTGACTTCTCAAATATGACTCAGTCAGATTTTGGGTTTATTAGAGCACAACATGTACCGTTACAACTTTCTCTGAATTAACTCGAACAGAAAAAACTTTGTTTTCATCGTAGTTATTTTTTTTAATTATTGTTTTTTTATCTTCTTACTCTGAACAGTTCTGTATTTTCACAGACCCTACGTTGACCTGTAAATGCACAGGCATTTTTTTAAATGTTTTTTTTAATGAATGTGACCCTGGGTGAGCCACTACTTCAACTTGTCAAAATTTCACAAAGAAAAATGTGTTTTATAGAATCTGTCTTTGGTGTAGAAACAAATACAGATGTTTTTCTGAAGTGTAATGTTTTTGTTAACACTTCCTTCAATCTATGTTGGACATGAGTGACACAAACATTAAATCTCCAAAGTGTGTTTGGTTCACAGTTGAATAATCTAGAATAGATTTGACCAATCATGAGAAGTACTATAAAACTAGTTTGTGTACAAGTATTCTAGAAGCGAGTCACAGTTTAGAGAACTTTTGAAAACAACTGGTAACTTGCACCTCCCTTTGGCTGTATGACGCCCTGTGTGGGAAGCCATACCTGCCATATCAAAAACTATGAATGTCTAAATGTGTTCTTGGGAAATCTATGGTAGATATTTC